GAAACAAGCAGGCACACAGAAAAATAAATACCACCTATTCTTACTCATATGTAGGAACTAAAAAGTTAAACTCATGGAAGTGGAGAGTAGAATTGTGGTGACTAGAGTCTGCAAAGGGTAGCAGGAAGGGGGTATGTGTGTATCTTTCAATCAATAAGTAGGTACAACATTACAGCTAGATAGGATAAATAAGCTCTAGTGTTCTATGGCACTGCAGAGTGACCATACTTAAAAATAAATTATTGCATGTTTTGAAATAGCTGGAATAAAGGAGTTTGAATGTTCCCAAAACAAATAATAAATGTTTGAGGTTATGAATATGCTAATTACCCTGATTCAATCATTACACATTGTATTTGCATATCAGAATTTCACTTTGTACCACATACATTTGTACGATTATTATATGCCAATTAAAAATGTTTTTTAAAAAGGACTCGATAGCATATAAAGTAAGCAAGTACTACTCACTTACTGAGACCCATAGGGTGCTCCATTAGGAAAGGAAATAATAGGAATATATTCCCATAAAGCAGTTCTAATCAAAGTTTGTTATACCACCTGCTACTTGTTCACAATGAAATATGTGTGGAAATTGAGAGGAAGCATTTAAAATCTTTTATAACAATTGACATTATCATAATGTCTAATCCAATATGTAATTTGGTGTCTGTTGAATGTGATAATAAAAAGTTGGAACTGGCATTTTGCATATCTTTTTATTTTATTTTCTACTTATTTTTCTTATACTCTACAAATATATTGATCCATGGCATATTGGAAATAAAAATAGTTCTCACTCCAGGTAGTTTAAAAAATTACCCCAAAATCTCAATTTAGTGCTAGTACTGCAGCTACTTCCTGAGCATTTAAGTGTCATTCAATCAAATGTGAATGTTGTCATATTGTTTTTAAGTTTAAAATTGTGTTCTACTAATAGTCCTTTTCAGAACTGTGATTGTATAATGGCCATAATGCATATTCAAAAACACACCAGATGTAACCTTTGATCTAGATAGGGCAGTGTTTCCTTGTCCTCTACAAGTATTCATTTGGTTAGCCACCTTGAAATGTTCTGAAGTTCTGAAATTGTTTAAATTGCTAAAAAGCAAATGAATGCTGATAAATCTTATTTTGGCAGCATCCATACCTTAAAAATCTGAGGAAAAGGAAGTAATTTCAGGGAAAATAAATTATTTACATATTTTTACTTAAAATGACAGACCTGGGCTCCTATTAACAATAAAAAAGATATTTTCTAACTTTTTTTAAATGAACTTTTAGATAAAACTAAATAATAAACTAAGAAATCCATGTACAGATGAAAAAATGTAGAAACAAACCAAAATGCGGGAGTATAGTGACACGGACAGTTAAATGTAATAGATGTATGAATCATAGTCATATAGTTTTACAATCTAATATACACAGCACATTATTCATTCAATGACTATGTGTAGAATATTAGGTAAGGCTAGGAACTCTTTGATCATAGCCTTCACTCTTTACCCCAAGCTTATTGACGAATAGGCAAAACTAAACAAAACAAGGAACTCAAATGTATTTATTTTTGTCTGTACTGATATTCTTTTGAACTACAACCTGCTTTTTATTACTCATTCAATTTTAAGAATAAAGTCAGTGTTGTAAAGTGGCAGTAACAAAAGATTAAATATAAAATACTCTATTTCTAGCTGTTCCTCTAGCTAAGTGGTCTTGGGCATGTCATAATCTCACCACTAGCTTCTGCTTTTTTCCATCTGTTAAGTGATAAGATTGGATAAGATGACATCGTAGGTCCATTCGGGAGCTGTGTCCATAAAAATATAAGTTATGAAAAAAATTATAAAAAGATCTTTTAAATTGCAGTTACGCTGTGAAAAACCTTTCTGGAAAATTAAAAAGAAAGTGCTTTTTGTTTCATAGTGCCAGTGAATCTTTTGAAAATGACCATCCATTTACATACACCTGATACATAAATTAAAAGCAAAAATATAGATGTATATACTATTTTAAAGTTTATTCCATCCATAACTTAAATTCTATTTTCAACCAATATATTCAAGACTAATGCTGCCTTCATTTCAAAAGACAGAATTACTTAAATAACACTTCCCAATGCCATATTCTTTCTGTGAATACAAATTAAGGAATGACACTGTCCAATGTGCTACTGTCTCTGAATACAAATTAAAGAGTTGGCCTTGTTGTTTGAATTTGGATTCATAAAATAGCTTACCAGGCAATCCCTTATGTACTAAGCTCTGCGTGTTTATGGTACACCATTTTGGGCAGCTGCAGTGCATTCAATATTTAGGGAATATGGAAATGACTTTGAATTTGGATAAACTGGTGCACTGGTACCTGGAGAAAAATTCTAATATCTGTACAGTACCCTGGGACATTGCCACAGGTTGTGATTATTAACCTGATCAAGGGCAAAGGGCTATTGAATACTGAGCAAATTCCAACGCATTCATAGGACTGTCATATGCTGTGGCCCACTCATTGGTAAGCTCTGGGCTGATGAGGAACTGTAAAGCTGTGGGGCATGTATTTCTCATAGAACTTGAGTCGTTCTAGACATGGGGGACTCAGAAATCACATCACAAGAAAATTGTTCCTTTCTCAATTCTTTTGGGATTCTGATTCTTCCCAGTAAAAAGACTCAATCTGGTGCTAGTGTGCTTCTAACCCTTCCATTCATTATGAATTCTCTTTGCAACAGAGAGTCAAGCAGGAGCTCCAAAGCCTTCTGCAAACACTACCTAGCTATAATTTGAAAACATTAATTTGTTCACTGCTTTTACAGTAACTTTCTATTTATGGCAAGTAATACTGGCTTTTCAGCTATGGTAACAACATAAAGTTATCTTTTCAAATAGATTTGTTTAAGCCCCAGAGGTATGTTTATTTAGAAAAACTTTACGACTGGCAAGAATTTCTAAGATTTGGTATTTCAAATAATTGAAGCTTGAGAAACATTGGACTGGTAGATAATGCACTGAGCTAGAAGATAGGAAAATTAGTCACTAAATCTAATTTTAACCCTGTCACTAATTATTAGATTGCCCTTGGGCCAGATGGTGAATCTTTCATGTCTCCATTTCCTCATTATCCAGTACGTGTAGTGATATTTGCCAAACTACCTTTGGAGCAACAATGTGAAGATTAAAATTAAATGATGAATGGTGAAATAATATGAACATTGGAAGTTATATGTAGATAAGGTTCATTATTATGTAGCTGAAATGTCATTTTTTATTTACCACCCCACAAAAAACACAAACAAGATCAAAACCATTTAAAGAATAATATTATCTGTTTTTTTTCTCTAGGACCATGACAGTTATTGGTGGATTGGTGATGGTAGTGATGATGGTAGTGGTGATGGTGTGTGTGTGTGTGTGTGTGTGTTTCTATGGATTTGTGCGTGTTTGTGTGTGTTTCTATGGATGTGTCTGTGTGTGTGTTTATGTGTATGTCTGTGACAGAGAGAGAAAAAGACTGACTTCACTCAGTCTCCTTATGTAAACTATTCCTAAATATTAAGGCTCTAGTCATCTTTTCCAGATTAATTATATTTTATTTTTTGCTATTTCCCATGATACCAAAAAGCTTGAAAAGTCAACTATGTTTAAAATGAAACTAATAATACATCATATTCACTCCAAGTTTTAATAAAATATTGCAACCTATCTGAATATTTTGAGTTGTTAAAAATACAGGACTTTAGTTGCATACAAAAATTATTTCTTGACCTGAAACAATATTTGGATTCTTGTTTATTGTACTTATTTATTGGTTTTAAATCCATAAAGATCTGATAATATGATATCATCTTTTCACAAAAGATATTTTACTGTTACATAATGCCATTTCCTATAGACTTCAGGATTTCTTTTTCTAATTTAATCTCTGGCTTATTCTTGAAGTTAAGGTTTTTGTTTTGCTTAAAATATAATAGTTCAATTAAATATTTGGTTTTTGATATTAATGACTAGTCCATCAAGTTTTTGACTGTGTTTTATTTGAGACATAAATACAACTAAGTTCTAAATTATTAATTTATTATATAAAATAGAGAAAATTGATACACATAGAAATAATGCTAGCCATCGTGGTTTGGTTTCCCATTCCATTTAGCAAAACTTATTTAAGCATTATTGCTGATGAATTAGGAAATAATAGACATCATAATTGTATTTGTATATAAATATTTAGGCTTAGTCTAGGACAGCAATTCTCAAACTTAAGCTAAGTCATCAGGATCACCTGGAGGGCTTGTCAAAACACAGATTTCTTGGCCCATTCTGAGATTCTGCTTCAGTAGTTCTGTGGTGGGGCCTGAAAAATTGTGTTCCCGATAAGTTCCCAGGTGAAGCTAAGGCTGATGTTGCATTTCTGGGACTATACTTTGAGACTCATTCGTCTAGTGGAAGGCAGTAGACCAGAGCAATAAATGCCATGGACTTTGGTGACAGGCCTCGATTTCAGCCCTGAGTTTGGCACTTATGAGCTTGTACCTTTGATAAGTTAGAGATCAATTTTGTCATCTATAAAATAATTATATCTGTTAAAAATATTGAATGAAATAATGCACGTTAAGTGTTTGGAACAATGCTTATATATTATGAACTCACTAAATACAATATCAATAACTAATTGTGATGGTAGTAACAGTGAAAATTATAGAAGGAGTACGTAACGGTAATAAAAAATGTATACACATTTGCCTTAGTTCAATTGCAGTAAAAGTTTATTAGTCTTTCTACGGAAGGATGGACAGAGAGCTTGCCTTTCGTTTATCATTGTGTCTATGATAAACATTCTGCACAAGACGAGGCATTGGTAAAAAGAAGTAATGCCCCTAGTGAAAGCACTTTCAAGAGCACTTTGGAGATTATAATCTAGATTGCAGTTTAAACAAAAGTTTCTCCATTTGTGTAATGCTTCTCACTATTCAGAACTTACTGCCCTTGTTTCTTTCCTTCTCTTAGCAACAAGAGCAAGACCCAACAAACCTATACATCTCAAATCTCCCCATTTCTATGGATGAGCAGGAACTTGAGAACATGCTGAAGCCCTTTGGACATGTCATTTCCACAAGAATTCTAAGAGACGCTAATGGAGTCAGCAGAGGTGTCGGCTTTGCCAGGTAAAATTCTTGCTTTATATGTTATCGATCCTTCCTCAGTGTTCCTTTTCAATTCCATTCCTTTTTAGTACTAGAGCTCTTAGCAATAGAATATGCAAAAAAAAACCAAAAAACAAAAAACAAATTAAAAGTAACTTATCAAATCTGTCTCCCTCTGTACCTTTGCTTGGAGCTATAGAATTTCAATATAATTATAAATAAGTTGTGCTTGTTAAAATGTAGGCATAATGAGTTTATGTGTCTTGAGTCATAATAACATACATACTCAGTTTCCAGTCCTTTCTGTGCCTATAGATCAACAAAATCAGATGCTGCCAATACCTGACAGAGATAATAAATGCCCACTACCCCAAAGCAGAAGAGCCCATGTGGTGAACAAAGCATCTCAATGTTTTTTCATTGATTTCCAAAAAAGCGTGCTAGCATTTCTCAGTAAAGAGCAAATAAAAGAAAGGAAACATTTAGAGAAAGAAGAATTATTGAGAAGGCCCAAAGAACCCAGATATACAAGGGAGGTCAAAAAGCCATTTGCATTTAAGAGGCCCTGGTTATGTGTTTTTGATATTTTAGGCAGAACAGGGGAAAAAAATGTATTCCTTTGATTGTAAGAAAAGAAAGAGTAGTTTTCATTTTGACTTTGAAGGAATGTTTACAAAAGAGGATAACAGCCAGCAATGGAGTTTAAATGGTTGTACCTGCTGTGCTTTCATGAAAAAACAAAGCTAAAGAAACCACAGAGTAAAAGAAGCTGCTCAATGGCAATGAAGAAAAATAAAAGTCTTGTCTCTGTGGCTTGGTACGTTTACGTGTGTTTCCAGTTGATTTAACATGGATGAATGGATGGATGTTAAGTATTACGTGGAAGTCAGCCCATTGCAGACAAGTTTGTTCATCGAGGATTAACTCTGCTATCACTTGAAATACCATTCCAAGGCTGGGCGTGATGGCTCATGCCTGTAATCCCAGCACTTTGGGAGGCCAAGGCAGGCGGATCATGAGGTCAGGAGCTCGAGACCAGCCTGACCAATGTAGCGAAACCCCATCTCTACTAAAAATACAAAAAGTATCTGGGTCTGGTGGCATGCGCCTGTAGTCCCAGCTACTTGGGAGGCTGAGGCAGGAGAATCACTTGAACCCAGAAGGCATAGGTTGTGGTGAGCCGAGATTGTGCCATTGCACTCCAGCCTGGGCAACAGAGCAAGACTCCATCTC